GGAGCAGCGTGGCGGCAGGAGGTGCAGAGCAAGTAGAGCAGCAGGCAGAGGAGGATGGCACTGCCAGCAGTCAGGAGGACAACCCCGCTGGTGAACATGCTGGCCAGCGGCCGTGCAGGGCTGAGCTGCATGGTCGTGGTGGAGAGGATGGTGAGCACAACCCCGCAGACCACCAGCACCAGTGCGCTGAGCAGCAGCACCAGGCAGTCCGAGAAGCCCCCGCTCTTCAGGAGTTCGATCTGATCCCGGCTGCGGATGCAGTTCATGTCCTGGATTGCAGAGCTCAGCAGCTGCTTCAGCAGCGCACGAGCAGCCAGGAGGCAGAGCGTGGTGCCCACGGCCAGCCGCCACTCTCCAGACCGGCTGCTAGTGCTATACAGCAGGATGATGCCCCCGATCCCGCAGGCCAGGATCAGCACCACAGCCATCCCATAGCACAGGATGGACTTCTTAGGGTCCTGAAACCACCAGAGCTCCACATGTTCCTCCAAGATGTTCCTCTGGATGTGGTCCGCGTCTGCAGGGGTGCGGGGGCTGCTCAGCTCTGCCAGCTCCGGCATGGTGGGCGGCTGGGTGGGGAGGGCACGGTGGGGTGGTTGCACAGATGAATCTACACACTTACAGTGAAGCGGAGGGTCAAGGCAGCAGCGGTTGCAAAGGTAGCTGCATTTCTCAAGTGGTGATGCCTCTGTCCCATTCTTTGGAGCCTAGTGGAGCTCCCTTCTGCGGCAGTACCACCTGGAGAGCTATGGTCCATGCGCTGGAGCTGAGCCCACCCCCCAGGCAGGGCTGTGGGACATGGTGGAGCATCCCCAGAGCAGCACCGTAAGGGAACAACCAGGGCTGCGTCCTTCCTTTCCTGTGTCTTTCATCTGAAAGAGTCAAGAAGAGAAGATATCGTTAGACAGAGACCCTGCTGCCCTGTACCAAACAGTCCCCTGCTAAACCTTAGACCTTGGTTGCTCCAGGCTGGCCTGCAGACCTTCTCCTGCCTCCCTCACAAAAACCCCATGCAATGGAGCACAGATCAGCCACGCACGTCTTCCCGGGAGACTTCCACGCACTGCGGGGGACCTCAGCCTGCCCCAAGGACAAGGCTCCTGTCTCCCCAGCCCTTCTGCCCCGCTCAGAGGCTACTGGCACACCGCTGCCCCAGGACTCTGCCCGCAGCCGGGGGTGGGAGCAGGGAAGGGAGGCAGGTCCCTCCTGGGATAAAGCCCCATTCACAGCTCGGGCTTCACATGCTCCCTCATCAGCATCAGCCTCTTGTCACCAACTGGCTCTGCTGCCCAGAACAGAACAGACAGTGGGAGGTGGGGGTCAGGGCCGGGGCTTAACCCTTCCAGTCCAGTCACTAGAGGAGCGAGAACTGCCCTTGCCGCACGTCCTCAGCCCTGTCCCTACCCCTGCACCGCCAGCAGTACCCCCTCCCATGTCCCCTACAGAAACACGATGGTTACATCCCCAGTTGTATCAGCACTTCCCTGGAAAGAGCCCCAAAACAGCTGGGACCTGGCACCCTGCAATTTTTCTTTCCTCTCTGCTCCTCCTGGCCCCTGAAGCACTTCAGCACTGGAGGGGAGCAGGGGAAAGGCAGCGGTGGCTGCAGGGTGGAGGCAGGCTCCGCCGTGCTGTGCTCAGCTGGGCTCTCCTTGGCACGGCACCTTGTCTCAACCCGCAGCCCAGCTTCCTGGGCTCATCACCTTGCCAGCGTCCTGGCCCCCCTCAGCGCTTCTCTGGGTACAGTTTTACACCAAGAGTGGAAACTACTTGCATTTCTCTCATGTAACCTCCCACCCCAGCATGTGAGAGCTCCAGCTGGTCCCACAGCACCAGAGGGACCCTGCAGCACAGCTGGTACCCAAAGCAAGGAGAGGTGCTGGGGAGGATGGTGTGGGAGCATCTCAGGTATGGCTGAGCCCTCAAGACATGGGGCAGACCCTGGAGACCCCCGAATTGCCTCCCTGGTCACCTCCCAAAGAGGACGACGCACCCACAGCCATCATGGGCACACACACACAAACTGCTCGGAGTCCCGCAGGAGCCCATGGTGGGGACAGGAACTGATGCAGATCCCCTGTATCAGAGCTGTGTCACTTCTCCTGGGTGGGGGAACAGCCACGCAGCACCCTGCCCGCCAGAAACAGCTCTCTGGGAGCCTGCCACCCACGCCAAACACACTCCATTTGTCTTTGTGCCCTGCTCGGCACAGCGCTGGGACGCCGGGCGCATTATGGACGGGTGGGGATGATTTGTGACCTCCACGCGTGGCTGCTCTGCACAAACAAGGGATCTTTCCTCCCACAGCTCTCCCTATCCTCAGGCGGTCTCCACAGACTGCAACCCCTGACGGCGCTGCCTTTGCAAACGCCTCAAAATCCCCCTCCATCGGGGACAAGGGCGATGTGGGGTGGGGAAAGAGGGAGGACAATAGCATGGGGGTGCCCGAACCAGACACCGCCTGACAGTGTCAGGCCAGGCTCCTCCGGAGTCACTCCCCGGCTGTGATGGAGCATGAGGTCACTTTGGACGTGGCTCAGGGCACGCTGCCAGCTGGCAGCACGTGTCCAGGAAGGGTTTGCACACCCAGGACCCATCACACCATGAGCTGCGCACTGTGCCATTCCCCTGCACGGCTGCTGGTGCTTGAATTGCCTGGGCAGGGAGTGGGCTGCAACATAGAAATCCACGGTCCAGAAGGGTACACTTGCCTGGAGGCCCGTGGGAGATCTGCAGCTCCTGGCTAGAGCCAGAACAATCAGAAAGCATCAATTAGAGAGAAAAAAAAGCTGTGGTTGAGCATACTGATTTGTGCAGGCTGAGACCCACTTCGACTTTGCATGAGACAGCAGGTAACTTGCGCTGTCTGCATGTGCCCAGGACAGAGGTCCCCAAGAAAGTCGGGATCTTGCGGGGCACTGTCAAAGCAGAGGGGTGAGAAGACGTTGAGCCTGGAGACATTTTCCCAGCCTGTGCAAACCAGCTTGGTGCTAAGCACTACTTCCTCCTGCCTTTCCTTCTCCAAGCACAGAGGTGCCTTATCTCCTCCTTACCACCGAACGGGTGAGTCTAGTAGATAGCAGGTTTGCAGATTAGATTGAGATTTTGGACTGAGAAAACATAAAGCTTGAAGAAGTGCAAAGTCTGCGGCCTTCTGCTGCTTGACCAAAGTTGCACACACAAGTTATGAGTCAAACAGTAAGCAAATAAACCACAACAGCACAAACCACAGTGAGGGAAGACGCGGCCAAAAATCAAGCTACAGAATTGCATTCTCATGTTACTTTTTAAAATTTAACCATTTTAATTTTTATTTCCTCAGAAGAAGGTCAGGGAGCAACATAAAACATCCAGCTGCAGAACAGAATAATGTGTGACCTCTACGGGCACGTATTTCCTAGTGTTATATTAACCTCTATAAAACATTATTTGGAGAGGCAAAGACTTCCACTGAAGTGTACCTCCATGGTTTCTTGTGCCTTTGAAAATGTTCTGGGAATATCATCTTTTGCTCTATAAGCATCCACACGTGCTTGAGGTTCTTTAGACTGCGAGGGTTTGTGTTGCTAGTGACAGTATTTTCATTCTCAGAACCACAGAATAATTCAGGTGGGATGGGACCTTGCAAAGTCACCTGGTCCAACCACCTGCTTAAAGCAGAGCTAACCTCAAAGTCAGACTGAATAGCTCAGGGCCTCATCCGCTCAGGTGCTGGATACTGCCAAGGATGGAGGATCCACAGCCCCTCTGGGATCATTCCCGTGTTTAACCATCCTCACCATGAATAAATTTTTCCTTAAATCTAACTACAGTTTCCGATTCCTCAGCATGGGTGCATTCCCTCACATCCTTCCCTTCTGTACCTCTTCAGAAAAATCTGTCTACATTTTAAACCAGAGGAAGTCCTACCCTGGGCTGCCACCCACCACTCCTTGGAGAAGGGACGAGTAGAACCTTTGCTGATTTGGTTTCTTGGCATTATGCAGCACATCGTTTTGCCCAGATCAGATCGAGAGAAAGGAAAGGATGTGGATCCCTGCTCTGCCACGAGGAGAAGGACAGCCTTCCCACAGCACTTGCCCTTTCAGTAGCTCTCCTTTGGGCTACCTGGTCTCACTGGGCTGGGATAGACTGTTACACAGACCCTTTGGGAGCTTAAGCCAGTTAGCCCATCAGATTAGCCAGTTTGATAACAAGTATGACAGGTCATTAATCTCTATCATTTACTTTATACTGAACCCAGTGCCTTCAGTGCTCCCCTCTGTGCCTGTAAGAGAAGAAAAGGAGAGGACCAGCCCAGTCACACAATGTTTTCTGACTGAAGGCCACAGCTCAGGAAAAAAATGACAGGCTGTCCTTCTCCACCGCTGGCTGGCAGCTGGGGAGGAAGAATAGGAAAGCATTGAGAACACAGGAAAGCAAAAAATGTTAATGTCTTTCCTTTTTTTTTTTTCTTTTTTCCTATTCTGACAACATTTAACTGGGAATCGAAGGTCATCCTCAACTAGTTTCTGGCTGCAGGTGTGAGAGATGCATGCCTGCCGACCACCTGGGAATAGTATATGCATTTATTTATTTACTTATAGACTATGTCTGACTGACTGATATCTGACAGACGGGCCACGGACTGTATGTTAATTAACACTTTCATTTCAGAGCCATGTACAACTCAGCTCCTGAAATATTCCCCACTTCCCTCCTCTCTCCGAACCCAGGGTACAACATCAGACCTTGCTTACCCACAGCGTTCAGGAGGGGAAGCCTGGGGGTGGGGGGGGTGGGACATGCTCCTGCAGCACTTCCAGCCCTCAGAAAGGTTTTATGCAGCTATGTGGGCTATGTGAGCAGAGCATCATGGAGACCACAGGAGTCTGGCAACACTTGCTGTAAAATAAACAACAATACATAAAATTATTTGCATGAGTAATCCAGATGAGAGCCAACAGAGACTCACAATCTCAAACAGATATAAGCCACCTCCTTCCCCTGCTTCTCCAGTCCATCACAGCCTACTCGCTTCTGGGCCAGGTCTGGCCATAGCCTATTTGGGATGGACTTGCCACCACTCGGTGCCTGCATTACCCCTTATCCAGCCCCACAGAAACCTCTAGCCCAGAATAGGCATAAATATTTTCCCATTCTTTCATGAAATTTTTCCAAATCCCTAGTAGGCTCACAGAGAATGAAAGTCATATATCTTGTTTATGTCGGAATTACTGCCAATGCACAAAGCAGAAGCTCTGAATGTTGTAGTGCTCAAGGCCCGTCTGTGCCCTTAGGAGCAGGGATGCTGCTGCCCTGGGACATGTGGGAAGGTCCCCGCTCTTCTCCTGAGAACTCGGGAGTGGGGATAGAGGAACCTGCGGGGAATGGGAGTAATGGGGCTTTTATGTGGCATCTGTCTCACCCAAAATCCTGGCAAGAGATCCACACTCCTTTGGCTGCTACATCGACCACCAATTCCCAATGCTCCTCCTTTCTGGGGCTGCTCAAAATCCAGGCAAACCTATGCTGTCTGGTCTATATCTGGAGAGGGTCCACCCTGTCTACCCTGCCAGAG